CTTTTTTGAGACAGGGTCTCCCTGTAGCCCCAGCTGTCCTGGAACTCACTATGTAGACCAGGCTGGCCAACTCTCTTTTTAATTATATTTTTAGTTAGATTTTAATAGGCTTCCATATGGCTTTTCCATACATTCTCGGTTTTCTTTAACTCTCTCTCCAACTCTCCGTTTTCCCTCATTCCCTTACCCACCCCCACTTAAACCTTTCCACACACAGTGTTTCCCGCCTCTACATTCCTGTCGCAGAGTAGAATCTTGTAGTCACAGCACTGATAGTGAAATGTTTCCTCTGTTTCCTCTGCAGGTGGGAGGCTGCATGACACTCCTCTTGGAGACTGAATCACTAAGAAGATACACAAGAAAAATGTATCTGAAAAAAATTTTCTATTTGCAATAGAAATTTAAAAGTAAAATGTCAAGAAACACAATTGTGTGTCTCTGTGTATGTAATCATAAAAATACTAGGAATGTAATGGAGAGCTATAAAATAATGTAAACAGAGGAATACAGTCCCCTCTATTCCTGGAAAACCAAGGGTAGCGGGAACATATTTCAACATAACAAACAAGTCAGTAGCCAGCATTATGCTAACGGAGAAAACTTCAAGGCACTCCCACTGTAATCAGGAACAAGATGAGGGGGCTCATTCCTCTACGCCTGTCCAGGGTAAAACCTGGCGTCCTCTCTAGAGAAATGAGAGGAGGAAACAGATACAAATAAGAAAACAAGAACTCAAAGCATCTGAGTCAAACTGTCCTTATTTGGAGATGTTATGATCCTATACATAAGAGGTTCTAACCAAGACCCTGTGGCTAAATAGGTCCTGGACTCGAGGGGGGGAACTCACTGCTATTATCCTACTAAATGGACATAATATTAAACCAACTCCTAATGTACTACTGTTGTGCTCTTAGATTAGTACATTTCTTAACCCTCAGCAAAGAAGTTCCTTTTTGCAGCAGATGGTGATCAACACAGAGACCCACAACTGGTAAAGATGTGGAGCACTCAGTCCTAAACCGGACAGCGATTGTTTTTCTTGATACCTACTTTTTCTGAGTCCTTTGTATATTCTAGATGTTAACCCCCTGTCAGACACACAGCTGACAGGGTTCTTTCCCATTCTGTACACCGCCTCTTCAGTTGACTGATGGTATCTTTTGTGGTACGGAGATTTTAAGTTCATGAAGTTTCATTTGTCAGTTGTTAAGAGTTAGTCCCTGAGCTACCAGCGTCCTCCTCAGACCGTCCTTACCTACACCTACATCTTGACGTGTGCTTCCTCCTTTTTCCTCTAAGTTTCAGATGTTACATTGAGATCTTCAGTCCATTTGGAGTTGACTTTTGAGTGG